CGGCGTGGGCTCCATGGCAGCAGCCCAGGAGGACCGGGGCGCGGGCGACGGAAGCGCGAGGCCTACGGACTGCGGTCCGGTTCGGGCGGCCGCGAGCGAAGCCCCGAACGCGGCCCTGAGAGAGGCCATTCGCCTTGCCTCCGGAAGCTCGCTGGCCACAACCGGAAGTTCTTCCCGGCCCAATTATGGGTGGGGGGGCACACCCAGAAGCTTAGCTCTGATTGGTTCTCTCTCGTTTGTCCACTTCCGGGCTTCGAGTAGTTGCAACTTAGAGTGGGCCTGAGATGCTCTCTAAGCTCTGGCACCAGTGCACCGGGCCAGGAGAGTTCCGAAGCTCCCACCCCTGTGTCACGTGACAGACTGGACTACTCTAAGTGGTCTTACATGCTGAGTGACGTCCTTAAAACACCACGAGGGGCGCCCCCAAGGTCAACCCAGCCCCAATGGGTGCTTTTGGTTTGGCCGGTTCTGTCCATTACACGCATAGAATTAGAAACTGTTTAACTGTTTTATTCAGATAGCCAACAATTTAAAACAGTAGTTTAACAGCCTAAAGATGTATCTTTCATCTTATCTTTAGCCAGCAGATTACATAAGTAAACAAGGGCAGTCAGTCATTCCAAAGTCTAGTCTTGCCCCTCTCCCTCTGGTCAAACCGTCAATCTTGTTTCAGATTTATGGTGTTGGTGCTTTTCTTTCCGTCATCCCCTCTCTGTAGCAGGAGGAGGGTTTTCAAACAAGGGCCGAGTCTTCCGTTCTTCCCTAGTCAGCTATTTGGATAATGTCTATGCTTAAACTCAGAGCACACTATTAATGTGTGTTTGTAGATGTCTTTCTACAGTAAAGTACAAATGTTCTTAAAATGTAGAATATGCAGTGCCCTTCCATTAGGACAATTTTTCTCATTTGTTTTGATCAGAGAAGGGCCAGAAGTCTCGTCAGTGTTCCTGGGATCTGTGGGACAGGTGGGAGCTGGCCAAACTAAGACAGGGGTAATTTGGGTTACTAACTGTACCAGGGCAAGGCTGAAGCAGAGATTGGACAATGGGTCAGGGCAAAGGTCCGAGCTTACCTGGAACCTTGGTTCTACATATAGAACTTCTCTCTGAAGTGATCACATTTCCCTTTTCCCCCATTTTGTGTCTGTCACTTGCAGTCTAGGTGAATATGAACTGTGATGGGGAGGTAGACAGTGCTCAGGGAACCTATTAGTCCTTTGAGCATAAACAAATGCACACATTTCTTCTTGGACCTGTCTCTTCATTTCAGCCTCTGCCTTCAGTTCTATACCTCAAGAATTCACATCTGGAACTTTTCCTGGGGCCACACTGGGCTTCTAAAATTGCAATGCACTTAGCTCTGCCACTGGAGCTGTGTGATTACACTGGAGAACTCCCCCTACCTTCTGCATTGGAGGTGAGATGTTGTATATGTATACCTTTTTTTTCCATAACAGTAGGTTGTAGCACCTCAGCCCTGGCCAGACCATGTGTTCTTGCTGCTGTCACTAACAGGTACTTCACTGGATATCTTCAGGGTCTGTCTTGCTCTGGCCTAGAAATGATATACTCCTCCCACCTTTGCCAGGCAGTGAAGTGCAAACTAGAGGGTATACAGGTGCTGAATACATAGCCATCACACAGATAACCTAGCTAGACACTAGTGAGCACCAGGGGCTATAGCCTGTACACTTTGCTGAGTGGACAGTATGTACCCTGGGATGCAGGAGTACCTCTAGCATCCTACAGACCTGGGGCAGATGACAAAAGAGGAAGCCAGTCCCCATCACCTGAGTCCCATTTCCATACACTTCACAAAACGGGAGCTTCCAAAATTAAAATTTATTTTTCTTTCTAGGGAATGAATCCACGAGTGTGAGACAGAAGTACATAGCCCAACCAGCCCTGTATCCCCTGCCCAGCTCAGTGTTTCACTTGATTTGGCAGTCAACACAAGGATAATCAGAATGGTCTTGGTCTTGCCAGGCTATATAGTATGCCAGGAGCCACAGCCTGTACACGTGAATGGCTAGGTATGCCCAAGCCAACCATGGCCCTAGGTTTGTGGCCCATGGTGGGTCCACTACTGTCCACAGTGCAGTTTGGGCATTCCACCTAATCCACAGGAATCAGGCCTAGCCCCTCCAGGCACCAAGGGCAGCCAGGGAAGCAGGCTGATATCTGAGGCAGCCCCACACCACACTGAGCTGTTGTGGAGTCCAGCAGGGGCTGGCTTGGACCCTTCTGCAAGCTGACGCTCTAAGATACACTGCCCACTTGGGGCACACAAATACAAATAAAAAGATTTCTTTGTCCTCACTGGATTTAAGGCTTGTATTTCCTGGTATTTGCTTGAGTTTGTTTTTTCTTTGACGTCAAAATTACCTGAGTAAAAAACTTTTTGACATTAAAAAACAAAAAAACCAAACCACAGACTCTCTGCAGGCAGAGATGCAACTGGCAATGCCACATGCATGTCCAGGCCAGCCAAAGACCCTACACACCCACAGGAAGGAGCTACATGGACACCCACCTCCCCAAACTTGCCGGCCCCAAACCCACAGTGAGATGCACTCAGGGCCAGATGCTCTTGCCAGCCAGAGCACAAGGCACAGTGAGGTAGGTAGAGCAACAGCTTGCCAGGCCCACCCTGGGGTTAGGCATGGGGCACTTTAGTGCCTCTTCTCAGCTTCTGGCCCTCCTGAAATTAGGCTGCTGGGTCCTGACACTGTGGACGGCCCTGATGCCCGTGGGTGGCCCCTACAGTGTGTGTTTGGGGCTGCTGGGAAGCCTGAGCTCAGACAGTTAAATATTCTTTATTTGGGTGGGCTGGGCATAAGGAAGGTAGGGTAAGCCTAGCCCAGGCCCCCATAGGGGGTGGCTTGGATGCATCTGCACCCAGGGACATCCCTGGACAGGTGGTGCCAGTTCCTCGGGAGCACCGGATGTGATGCAGAGGAGTAGAGCCCCTGGGTGTGGTCTCTTCTTTCCATGGTCCTCCTACCGGCCTGGCCGGGCCTCACTCACTCTCTGGAGGCAAAACTGCGCAGCAGGCAGTGATAGGACCAGGTTCATGGTTCGACGGCCCATCCAGTACAGACTGTAGCCCAGCAGGCCAAAGAAGGCAGCCTTCACGGCCACCCGGGACACTCTGCCCGAGATGGATGGAGGGGGAACTCTATGGGAAGGACAGGTGTGGTAGGCTTGGTTGGAACATGTACTCCCCAGGTCTTCCCATGTGTGGGTCACCACCACATGCAGGTGCAGGGATTGCCGGGTAAGGTGGGGAAGGCACTCACGTCATGATCTCCTGGATGTTGAGGTCGGTGCTCCAGTTCTTCTCAATGCCAGGCACATGACCCATGCCAACGACACCCACAACCACAGATGGGACGCACTTCCTGGGCTCAGCTGTCAGGGGAGGGTGAAAGTCAGTGACAGGCACAGGAACTAGTATCTTGGGGAGTTCCCACCCTGGCCTGTCCATCACCATCAGAGGCTCGGGGAAGCTCAAGGCGCCGTGCAGCCTGACGCAGCATATAGGTCAAATAGACATCACGCTCTGAGACAATGGTTCGATGCAAGTCAGGAAACTCCCCAATCATCTCTGCCATCATCTGCTCCAACAGGTCCTTCTGCTTGCAGCGCTCCACATCATCTTTGCTGAGGGCAGAGGGCATGGTGCTAGCTTAGGGGAATGAACAGGGATTTGCTGGCAGACTGTGGTGATGGAGACATAGGAAGCCTTGTGCTGCTGACTTAGGGTAGGGACCATAGCAGGTGTGGAATGTGCCATGAATAGGCCAGGAAGGCTGTCCTACCTGATTGGGTCTGACAGGAAGCACAGGCCCCAGGCCAGCTTGACCTTCTGCCAGAAGGAGAGTGCTGCAATGGCCCTCTTAAAGGTGACTGGGATGGGCCGGTCACCCAGGTGAAATTTGCAGAATGGTACCTTGCTGGCCTGAGGTAGAGGCCGGATGTTAGGACTTGTGGTGCCATGGGTAGCTGTCACCAGTCCCCAGCAAGGAACCCACACATCCCCTAGCCTAGCACTCACCTCCTTGAAGGCTTCCCTGAATTCGCCACCCGGGGCCATGCCTAGCTGTTCAGTGATATGGGCAGACACCTTCAGTAGCAACATCTGCATGAGTCCGGACATGAGCCCATTCTGCAGGAAGAGGAACCATGTCAGCTATATTGCACAGAGTGAGCAAGGCAAAGCAGTATGAAGACATCAGTATGCCCTTGAGCTAGGCCCCTTCCAGTGGCTAGGGGCAGGCAATCCTAGTACATGAGAAGGATCAGACAATAGCAGGTCATCTTGGCTTCAAGAATCATTCAAATGTGTTTCCTCTGGAAAAGTTTTCTTTATAGGATGATCCAAGATGTTGAGAAGAAGCTACTTTCAGGAACTACCTGACCAGGTGTCTGAGGCACTGGCTGATCATGAGCAAACAGGCTGGAGTCTAGTGCCTAACAGGGATGCCTAGCATCCACAGCGGCCACTGGCTGCCTCTGGTCTGGCCAGGCTGGCTGGGCTGAGGTGGGTCTGTATGCTGAGACACCCCCCCCCCCCATTGCTGAGACAGCTGGCCCTTCCTTAGGAAGGGTTACCCTGTGAACTGCTGTATAGACTGTCTATTCTGTACCCAGGAAGGTCTGGCCCTTGACTCAGGAGAGTGCACTGTGAGACCTGGTGATAATTTTTTTTTTTTTCTGAGACAGGGTTTCTCTGTGTAGCCTTGGAGCCTTTCCTGGAACTAGCTCTGTAGACTAGGCTGGCCTCAAACTCACATTGATCCACCTGCCTCTGCTTCCTGCCTCCCAAGTGCTGAGATTAAAGGTGTGTGCCACAACACCTGGCCCCGAGTCCTAGTCCTGGTGATAATTTATCCAATAGGAGTGTTCTTATTTATTTGACCTGGAGGACAGACTGCCAAGTCTAGGCGCTCCATGAGATTTAGTTGGGGCTGGAGGGTCTTGTTTTCTGTTTGTTGTTTTTTTTTTTTTTTGTTTTTTTTTTTTTTTTTTTTTTTTTTTGTATCCCTGGCTGGCTTGGAACTTGATTTGTGTACCAGGCTAGCCTTGAATTCACAGAAATCCATCTAAATCCATTTGCCTCCCAAGTGCTGGGATTAAAGCTGTGCACTCCCATGCTCACCTTGTGGGGTCATGGGTCAGGCAGTAGCAATTGACTACTGGAGGAACTAGAGCTAATGAGGTCAGTTGTGGCCACAAAGCCAACCTACAATAAAAACTGACCAGGACAGTAACCCCCCTGGTGGGCAGCACCTGTGTATGTTATCACACACTGTTGGATGGGAAGACTAAGTGCTACCTGAGACTCCTTGAGGGGATGAGGAGCAGCAGGTGCCAGCCTCATCCCTTTATTTCCCTTTACTTGGGCCCCAGCCAGTTGTATGGCTCTTCTTCCAATGCAGTATAAACCCTCTGTTGTAAGGAGGGTGCATGGGGGTTGGAGACAGGGGTGACATATGACTGGTATTAAAACCACACCTGATTGAATGATGACTTTTTTTAAAAGTATCCAGGAAAGGTTTATGGTGACAACCCTTATGTGGGAGATTCCAGAGTGAGAAGGGCTCAGTATGTCTGGGAACGTTCACATGAGACTTTAACATGTTTCCTTCAAATAAGAAGAGGTACACTGCAGCTGGGGCAGACATGCCTGGTGCCCTCTGAACACCAAGATCACAAGGAGGTACTGCTACTAAGTGTTGCTTATCTTAGCCTTGAGGGCCTGGGGCAATGTGGAAGACAAAGGTCATATAGCAATGTGGTGGGCCCGACAATGCTCAGACCCACCACTGCAGCTTAGCAACATAGGTTTCAGCTCTGTCCTGTTCCAGCCTTGTGGAGGAGCCTTACTCACCTCCTCTTCTAACCTCTATCCTCTCCTGAGTGAGAAAGTGGGCTTGCAGCCAGGGTACTATGGCAATGACCAGAAGGCTGGCCCAGTGAGGAGCCTGCCTGTCAACGGCTCAAAGGAGACTCTGCTCTTAGTCTTGGCCCCTTCTCTATAGGGCAGCAGCTTCAGGTCCCTATGTGGACCTGGGCACCCACAGCCCATGGGCCACTCATATGTGTACCTGCTTGACAGCCTGCTGCAGCTTCTCCAGGCTGACCTCCTTGGCCTCTCGTAGCAGCGTTCTTTCATCCATCTTCAGCATGGACACACGGTACTGACACAGTTCCACAACTACCACATCGGGCTGTACTTCCCGGATAGTCTGTAAAGCAAGGGTCACACTCCAATAGACCCATCCCATTGGATGCTCCACACTGGACAAGGAGCCCCATACCAGGGAGCAGCCAGTGCTAACAGTTTATGTGGCTTCAATGCTAAATTCTAGAGAAAAAGTAACCAAAGAAAGCCATGGGACAGCTTTACTTGTTAAAATGAAGACGCATAAGGCTTTGAGTTGTGGAGCAGGAAGCTCCACTACTTATCATTCCCAAGGGACTCCACAGAAATGCCTCCTGCAAAGTTCTTGCCTGGTTGCCCTAGCATAGTGATAAAAGAGCAAGTGCTCACCTTCACTACATCCCGCTTGCTGTCATCACTGAAGTGAGCAGTGCCCACCACATATACCCTGCTCCCATCCTCTGCCACTAGCTGGGTCACAGTACGTGGAAGGTTGGGCCGCTCACGCCGCCGCTTCAGTTTCATCTCCAGCAGCAAGTTGAAGGCATCGACATCAGCTGCAACAACCGCAAAAGCCAAGGTGGGCTGGGGCCTGATGCCAGGGCACAGCTGCCTATCACTGGTTACAGACCATTCCAGGCCCTCAGTGAGAACTGACTCCCATTGGACACATACTCTCTGGCAGGCAGCGCACGTCACACAATTGGCTTACCCAGATGACTGGAAGAGTCATCTGACCCCATCTGTGAGCAGAGTACTATCTGAGGGGCCTGAGCAGGAGCTCTCTCCCCACCCTCAACTAGACCCAAACTGTCAAAGGAGAGTGCTGTGGATGGGGGAAGAGGGGTGACCAGGTGTCCCGGAGGTGTTTCCGTCATGGATATGGCTGACTCGGGAAGCAGAGGCTCTGTGCAGGTATACACTGGCAGCTAATTTCAGGCTATTACAGGGCACCTGAGTGCAGTGAGGGGTTCCTGCTGCCTTTACTCCCTCCCCACAGCTGGGCAGGGCCTGACTGTCCCACCCCCTCCCTGGGGCCCAGCACTGTGTCTATACCAAGTCCCGAAGGAAAACATACAGATGTTTTGAGGGTCTCCAGAAGGCACCCTTGGAACTGTTTCTGAGGCCCCTGATGTTACCACGGGTTCCATATCAGTCTGTAGAGGAAGAATTCAAGTAAGTGTCCAAATACTTAGGCCCCACTCCATAGGTCAGGTACACTCCAGACCTGTTGTACCTCCTTAGCAAGCCCAAGAGTGGCCATTTGCCTTAAGCCTTCCCCATGGAGGTACTTATTGTTGGACTCTAAAAACCCTAGTTATCAAGTTAGGTTTCTATAGAGAAGCAGCTAAAAAGGGACCCAAGGTAGCCACCAGGACCCTTACCCAGCTGTGTGCAGCAGCAAAAAGAAGCTGCTGGGTTGGGAAAAGGGTTGCTTAGGAAGATGTTCCATTAGCCCCAGCTTCCCTTACCTCTTGAGTTGGCTTCTCCTCTCCCTCCATGACTGGACAGCAGCTTCCTGATTGATGTAGGATGCCTGAGGAGACAGATATAGTTCTTATCCTGGGGCCCCAAAGAAAGGATCAGGGATCACTGTGACAATAGGACTGGGTCAGTCTTGAATGACCCTCAGGATATGACCTTGGCCTTCCTGTTCTATACTGTTGGCTGCTTCCTGCTAGGTACATGCTGTTTGAGGTCTAAGTGCTTTTGGGATGTGCCAGACTGGTAAGAGGCCAGCAGCCTCCTTGAGCCATATATGGATGGTCCATGTAGGGCAAGTCTCTGTCACACAGGGGCTTCAACCCACAACAGTTTCAAACAGTGAAGGTAACCTGCATCTCTCTGAGGAGTTGTACTACTACTCTGGGGTCATTCTAGGATACACTGCTGTGGCTGCTGGCCCCACAGTGGGAACCCCAGAGGTTTTGTGAGAAAGCCACTTCAAGGAAATCCTCCATTCTTTTTATAATGATGGCCACAACTGTTTGGCTATCAGCCAGATGGAAGAAGACTAAGCAAGAAGACAGCATCCTGAGGAGCCAAGATAGTTTTTCTAGTTTAAAAGACAAAGAAGCCTAACATGGAAGAAACTAGTACCCTGGTAACAAGTTCATGGCATTGTGGTTCCTTACTGTGTCATTGGGAGCCTCAGGGTTGGGGGCCCAGAGTGCCAGATGGTAGAGGGAAGAGTAACATATTGTCCAAAGGGGACAAAGGCAGCTTTAAACTATGGCCCAGCAAGGACAGCAGACTTCATGTATCTGCCAGTGGTCAGAATATATATATTAGTCTTTATATGTGTGCCTGTATATACACATGTGCTTGGGTGCCTGTAGAGGCCAGAAGAGACAGATTATCCTGGAGATGGAGTTACAGGTGGTTGTGAGGCACCTGATAAGTGTTGGGAACTGGACTCAGGTCCTCTACAAGGGAGGCATGGCAGTCTTATCTGCTGAGCCATCTCTACAGCCTGCAACCCCCCAGCAACTATATAGTCTTAGCAAGGACATGTAGTTCATTTCCATGCTGGTGGGTTTCATGAATTATAGAAGTTATTATAGAAGTTATTTCCTCAAACAAAATAAAACCATCAATCATAATGTACAGGTTACTTATAAACAATATTATATTTATTTTATGTATGCTGCTTTAACAAAGTGTGTGTGTGTGTGTGTGTGCGCGCGCGTGCGCGCGCGCGCGCGCACGGGTGTGCATGCACACATGCACGTGTGGGCATGTGAACCCAAATATGTAAACATCACCCAGCCCACAGGAGCTATGCAGTCAGGACAGGAACACTTAGCAGACACAATGGTCCTGGGTGGAGAAAGCCCTTTAAAAACAAGTCTACTGAAAAAATCTGACCCCTGGGCACAGTAATGTTTTTAATAATTTTTTTTTTTTTTTTTGGTTTTTCGAGACAGGGTTTCTCTGTGTAGCTTTGGAGCCTATCCTGGCACTCGCTCTGTAGACCAGGCTTGCCTCGAACTCAGAGATCCGCCTGCCTCTGCCTCCTAAGTGCTGGGATTAAAGGCGTGCGCTACCAATGCCCAGCTATAAATTTTTATTACTATCAAATATGCATATTTGTGTGTCTGTGTGTGTTTTGTGCACATGAGAAGAGTACCCACAGGGGAGTCATACCCAGAAGCCAGAGTTACATGTGGTTGTAAGCCACCAGAGATCAAACACCAGTTCTTCTAAGAGCAGTTCTTATGGGGAGCAGTGGTGCACATCTTTAATCCCAGAACTCAGGAGGCAGAGGCAAGCAGAAGTTTAGGTTTGAGACCAGCCTGGTCTACAAAGTGAGTTCTGGACAGCTAGAGCTCCAGAGAGAAACCTTGTACCGAAAATAAAATAGCAGTACATGTTTTTAACCCCTGGGTTTGTAATGTTAAGGAACTAGAATACTCTAGTTTTCCTTCAGCTACAGCAAGAAAGGGTGATTCTGTTTTGATGTGTTTGAGTATCTCAGTAATGTGTAAAGAGGGAAATGTGCCCTGGAAAGAGCTGTCAGAATGGGATTATGGTAAGATAACAGCAGTACCCCACAGACCCTGGGGCACCACTTTGACCTACCACTTTTGTCTGCACACATCATAGAATTTTCAGCCCCCACCCGCAGCCCCACATCTCCTCTGGTCCTATGGTATAAATGTGATTCAGGGATCTCACTGGGTGTAATCAAACTTCTAATGCCGTGGTCAATGTTAAAATGGTGGCAGGCAATTCTAAGCACTAGGAGCCTTCTGAAAGAGGAACTAGAGCAGGGCCAGCAGGGGTTACAAGGCAGAGGGCAGCAGAGACCCTGAGATAGCCCCTGAAAACATGTGTTTCTGGCCTTATGGAGCTTCTGGCTCTTACAGGGGCAAGCAGCACTTACCATACTGCTTTGCCCTAGGGTTCCCCCTTTTTCCTAGTCTGGAACCTGTCCTAAAATGCACCCTGAACACTTTATATAAAGGTCAGCACATTAGAGAAATGCCATTGCTGGCTCAAGGCCTGTGCATAGCCAGGACTACACTAAACCCCATGGCATCTGGTCATAGTTTAACCCTAGGGCTCTCCTTTCATTAACAGAATCAAATGCTTCAAAGAAACAGTAACAGGGAGATGTGCCAGGACAGCTTGGGAGAACCTGCCTTCCAGGACAGTGTAGAGACTATCTCTTCCACTCCATGAAACCCCAGTCAGGGGCAGGGAGTGTAGCTCAAACAGTGACCAACAGTGAAAAAGCAGAGGATCACATGGAAGCAAACCAGTAGTACAAACAGTGGCACCAGGCTGCCAAAGCATGAGATGAAAACTTAAAACATCCTGTATAAGTGGGCGGGCTAGCCAGAGGCTGCAGCAAATGGGAAAGTACCACATCATCTCTGCCTGCCCTGCCCTTTAAGAGGTGGGGCGACTGCAGGTTTGCAGTTAGCTGGGTAGATCTATCCTTCAGAGCTTGCCTAGGGGGCTTCTGGGCCTTTGACGGGTATGGAGGCCACCAAAGCTTGTCTAGCTGTGGAGAGTCGCTGGCAGGACTGGCTTCACCTTCAGTCAAGTAGTGGGTAGAGGAGCCAGCCCATAGGCTGGTCAGGAGCCCAGCTCTGAGCCCTTTGATGGTCAGACACCCAAACACAGCACCAGAACCCTTGTGGTTCCGAGCCCTGGGACACAGGCTCTCATGAAGAGCAATGCCAGTAGGGAGGGGAGATCAGGCAAGGACACTGGCAGACCCCCCTCCCCATACCCCACGCCAGTAAGAAGCCTGTGAGCGTGAGTCCCCGCCACTATAAATCTATGCATTTTGCGAACCTTTGGTTTCCTGCTTCTCAGATGCAAGTTCATCTTACTAGTACCTCCTCACCCTGCTCATTATCACTGACTGAGCAACTGAGACAGATCCCCACTTCCATCCAGTCACTAAGCACCCAGCCACTGTACCGGCACTACACTTGCCATATGTCCTTTTCAGACACATTCAAGGCAGAAGAAGTGACCTTATACTGTCCAACCTCCCCAGGGAACAAGTCTCTTTATAAATCCCCAGTTGGGGCCGGGCGTTGGTGGTGCACGCCTTTAATCCCAGCACTCGTGAGGCAGGTGGATCTCTGTAAGTTCGAGGCCAGCCTGGTCTCCAGAGCGAGTGCCAGGATAGGCTCCAAAGCTACACAGAGAAACCCTGTCTCAAAAAACCAAAAAAAAAAAAAAATCCCCGGTTGTTAGCAAACAGTTTCCAGACCTGTTCCTGGCCAAGACCACACTGTAAACTTTCACAGGGTAAAGTCAGAGAGCTGGGATTTCTGTCAAATAGGCCTCCAACTAGCTGTCCCTGCTGAGCAGGACTGTGGGAGACACCGTTCCAGGTCTGCTATCAACCAGGCAAGAGGCTTCTACATGCTAAACACCAGAACTTTTAGCATCTGCTAAATTTCTAGGAGAACTAGGCTTAGACCTTTGAAAATTCCCAGCAGTCTGTGGCTTTAAGAGAGAAAATACTGGTTCAAAAGGTAGGAAAGGCCCATTCATGTCAGGCAGGGCTCACAGGGAGATACTGCCCTCGAATACTAGGTCAAAGTAACCAGAGAGATTCTTGCATTGGATCCAGAACCATTTCAGACATGCTCCCCACCTGCCCAGCCCCACAGCTGTCTCTCTTCTGGATCCTATTAATACGAACTAAGTTTGTCCTACCCAAATTCACATACTGAAAAACTAAGCCTCAAAGTAATTACACATCAATTGTCAGGGGTTTTAAGAGGTGACTGGATTTAGAAGAGGCCATAAAGCAGATCGCATGATGGAAGTGGTGTCCTTGTAAGAGACACTAAGGAGCTATGAGGACACAATGAGAAGGGGCCTCCACAAGGCAGGCAGAGCCTTCATCAGCAACCCAAAAGACTAGCATTCGACCTTGGACTCCCAGCCTCTAAAGTATGAGAAATAGACGTTTGTTAAATTTTTCAATCCACAAAACCCTATTACCAACCCGAGTTGACACACCCATCAAACCTTCAATCTCTGAAAAACTGCTTCTCGGATGGCAGCTTGGCTTCCTACCACTGGTCAAAAGCTGACCGCGACCAGATAGAACATCTAGACAAGCCTTCACTGACTACTCAGAAAACCAAGAAAGAAATAACAGGGTGTGCAAAAGCCCTGACCTCCTCTTGTCCGTGTCTGAAGCCTGGGCACCACCAGACCCAAGAAAACCTGCTCCAGCAAGACATATTTTACCCAAGTGTGGCAGAGCTGAGGGCCGGAAGAGGAACCACACCGGAGGTGAAGAAGCCTTAGCCAGTCCTCCCGGGACCTAGTTTCTGTCCACCTGGAGATGCCCTGTAGGGGCCTGCTGGCTCCTAGTAGCCGACCCCTCTGCCAGAGCTGTGCTGGCATCCTGTCCACAGTATCCCGGCTACCGCAAGGCGAACCTTCTTAGAGAGGCAAGAGAGGGAGGCCCAGGGACAGCAGAATCTCCCAAGACTAGCGAACCTGCAGCCCCTCCGCTTGG